GCGTGCTCTGGTCCATGGGGTCACGAAGAGTCGGACATGACTAAATGACTAAACAACAACAACAACCTCAACAAATTGGGGCTGGAATCCTTCCCCCCGTTTACCTAGGAGTAAGCTCTTTCAACTCTGTGGCACTACTTTCCAAATAAACATGGTTAGAATTGCACTGTTACTCTGGATCCAGCCCATTGTTTCCTCTTAGTCTCAGGGCAAGTCGAAGAGGAAGAGGAAGTGATTTAATCCTCAATGAAGAAGTTGGGGGAAGTATTATAAAGTATCAGAATTCTGCACTGCTGAATTTCAAACGGGAATAAACCTTTTGTAAAATGTAACTGAAACATAAATCAGCCTAAAAGAGCAACTTGTGCTTAAATAAAATAGTGAGAAGATGGTTTTGAGTAATGCCCTCTTATTATATGAGTTATACATCAATCATTGTTTTCTCTACTAATTATGCACACTTCTTAAAAGCTTCTTTTATCATTGTTTCATCCCTTTAGTTCGTTCTGCCAATTCATTGCAAATAACCGACATGCTGGTTAGCACAACGAATAATACTACTCCAGTTGTAAAGCAAGGTATGTATTCAAAATTTAGCATTAAGTACGAATTATAGGGTTCTCTCATCAGCGTGAGATGAAATTCAAAGAGGTACCAGTGCATTAAGAATTGTCTATTGTTGCATTTGTCAGTTATGAGCATGGAAATGGGAACAAACTACCACTTTTGTCAAGTGTAAGTGAAATGTAAATGAAACCTAAAATAGAAACTTATTTCCATGATACCTTTCTCTCCTGTACGGCACTGATATGCAAATATGTTTTGATAAAACATACCGAAAAAGCTCAGGCTTGATGTGAATATATATGGTTGCATTAAGATTCTATTTGGTGGAAGATGGTCAATGTGCAGGAATACATGAGCATTTTTTAAAAATATTTTTTCAGTTTTTCAGTTTTTTAAAGATATTTTAACAAGAATACAAATCCAATGTTACAATAAACATGAATATTTTGACTTCCTCCTGCCCTTCTTATATTACATATTTTAGCTTCTGACACTGCATTTTCTTCATTATTCCAGTTATTAGTTAATCCTTGATTTCTCCTTGAATTTCGTTTTAACTGTTTGGTTTAAGTTAACCCTGCTAATCAACTTCTATGTGTACAATAACCTTTCAGATAATCAACACATTTCCCCCAGTCTCTGATAAAGTCTTTCTCCTCTTGGTTCCTTATAGCTCCTGTTAAGCTTCGCCATTTCAGCATAATTCAATAATTTCAGCATAATTCAATAATTTAAACTGCCACTCCTCCTTCGTTGATACACAATCTTCTTTCCATCTCTGAGCGTTAAGCATCCTGGTCTCTGTTGTAGCATAAAGGTAAAGGGACCCTTGACCATTAGGTCCAGTTGTGGCCGACTCTGGGGTTCCAGCGCTCATCTCATTTTACTGGCCGAGGGAACCAGTGTACAGCTTCCGGCATGACTAAGCATGACTAAGCCGCTTCTGGCAAACCAGATCAGCGCACGGAAACACCGCTTACCTTCCCGCCAGAGCGGTACCTATTTATCTACTTGCACTTTGACATGCTTTTGAACTGCTAGGTGGGCAGGAGCAGGGACCGAACAATGGGAGCTCACCCCGTTCTGGGGATTCGAACCGCCGACCTTCTGATCGGCAAGTCCTAGGCTCTGTGATTTAACCCACAGCACCACCCGCGTCCCTGTTATCTGGGAGTAACCCCTGTAAATTCAGTAAGACTTAATTTGGAGTAGACATATGTAAGTCTATTTTTAGTGTTGTTGTCATTTTGCTGTGGATTGCTGTGGATCTGCGCTGTCTGCCTCCCAGAATCACAAGCCTCTCCCCTCGCCAAGCCCTGCTTTGCTGCTAGGCAGGAAGGAAGTTCCCCCACCCCAGGCTGGCACAATTGCGAGGCTTGGCGAGTCCTCGCAAAGCCCTATCTCCGCACTGGGCTGGCAGGGGGCAAACTTTGTAAAGCGTTTCTCCTTAAGAAGTGCTTTTCTCCCCGCTTAGGGAGAAGCCTCGTGGAGCCTAATGACACCCCCCTCCACCTCATTACAGTAGTGCAGACACACCAAGTCTATGGGGCTGGGGCCTCTTCAGCCCTCTGATGTTCCCTGAAAGGGGTTCAGGCCCCCCAATCATGAGGGGGCAGAGGAGGCCTGGTGGGATGTTGCCCCAATGCTGTGCGGCCCGACGGGATGTTGACCTGGGCCAACCAGCATGGCATGGTGTCTGGTTGGCCTCTGCCAATGCAACAGTCGCCATGCGTGCACACAGCTCTGCAGTGTTGAGCGCAACTCGGCTCCCGAGCAGTGGCAACAGGGAGCATTTTGATTCAAGCACTGAAGCATCTCAGACCACCCCTGATCTTGGGTTTGGATTGCTCCCTCAGTAAGTTACCGTATTTTTCGCTCTATAAGACGCACCAGACCACAAGACGCACCTAGTTTTTGGAGGAGGAAAACAAGGAAAAATATATTCTGAATCTCAGAAGCCAGAACAGCAAGAGGGATCGCTGCGCAGTGAGTCTTATAGAGCAAAAAAATACGGTACCTTGGCTCAATTCCTTTTTATCTTAGACCTTCGCTAGTTTCTCTTCTAAAAGCCATATTTTAAGGAGCTGCTGCAAGTACTCCTCTGTGAGTCTTGGCTGTACTGGAGATTGAGGCTTGTCGTTTTTGTGATCCACAGTGGTGCGGAAGGCAGAAAGCAACAGCTGGGGAAAGACGGATCCCTTTCGCCATGTTTTCCTGATGGCAATCTGCACTTGCGCTCACATGTACTTCTGGGGACTGGCGTGTAATGTGTGGATAGTGGTTAGAAAACAAGGAATGAACATGCAAGCCACACAATAAGATATCCTTGAAACATTTCGAGTGTGTACATGGAAACCTTTGCACTAGTTTATAATTTTTTTTTGCACCGTGGCTCCATTTGCCATAAAATCTGGAAACCACTCGAGCTGCAGTCAAACATCCCGATAACTGGAAGAAAGCCATTTGTGTTGGAAATAATTGAGTAGCATTATGATAGGGTTGCCATATTTCAAACAGTGAAAATCCGGACGGAAAGTTGTTGAGCTGCTGCTGACGGCGGTATTCCGGACATATGGCAACCCTACATTATGACAAATCAGTACTTTATTCTTTTATTTCCTTTTTTAAATAGAAAAGGAGCAATTTCTACCTCCGGTGTGTTGTTTCAATGCCTCAACCTTAATCGTCTGCTTTGCAATAGACGTGTTTTGCTTCATCGTGTCTTTTGAAGCACACATTCAAGAGATAGCCATGAGTAAAAAGGCATGGCCAATCAGTACCAGATGCAGGGAAACACTTGCAGCCATGTCTGTAAAACATGCTCATTCATAGTGAAAGGTAAAGGGACCCCTGACCATTAGGTCCAGTCGTGGCCGACTCTGGGATTGCGGCGCTCATCTCGCTTTATTGGCCAAGGGAGCCGGCGTACAGCTTCCGGGTCATGTGGCCAGCATGACTAAGCCGCTTCTGGCGAACCAGAGCAGCACACAGAAACGCTGTTTACCTTCCCGCCGGAGCGGTACCTGTTTATCTACTTGCACTTTGACGTGCTTTCCAACTGCTAGGTTGGCAGGAGCTGGGACCGAGCAACGGGATGTCACCCCGTTGCGGGGATTCGAACCGCCAACCTTCGGATCGGCAAGTCCTAGGCTCTGTGGTTTAACCCACAGCACCACCCGCGTCCCTATGCTCATTCATATCCACAGTGAAAAACAGGTGGAAATCTGCATTTTATTTTATTTTTGCAAAACCCTGGTAAGGGATTGTACATAATCAGAGTGCCCAGATCTCAGGAAAGAATCGTTCCACCCTGGTCTGAGTACTGCTTTTACAGCTTTACTAAGACTTTTTCATGATGCAATAAAAAAAACCAAACTATTCTAAAGAAAAAAAAGAGTTTAGAAAAAGAGAAGAAAAAGAGCTGGAAGAAAGCAAAGTCCTCTCTCACGATATGTCCTAACTATTACCCCACGTGGACAAAGATTCACCCTCTCAGCTCTCACCTGGAAGCGCCCCTTTCTCTGCCCAGCCTCCCACCCTGGGAGATCTCCTTTTCCCTGCCTCTCGCAAAGGTCTTCCGCCAACTATCTGTCATCTCCATTGCAGGCAATGTACCTCAGGCAGAGACACAGGTGGCGCTGTGGTCTAAACCACGGAGCCTCTTGGGCCTGCCAATCGGAAGGTCAGCGGTTCAAATCCCCGTGACAGAGTGAGCTCCCATTGCTCTGTCCCAGCTCCTGCCAACCTAGCAGTTTGAAAGCAAACCAGTGCAAGTAGATAAATAGGTACTACTGCAGCGGGAAGCTAAACGGCGTTTCTGTGCGCTCTGGCAACCGTCACGGTGTTGCGTTGCGCCAGAAGTGGTTTAGTCCTGCTGGCCACATGACCTGGAAAGCTGTCTGTGGACAAACGCTGGCTCCCTCGGCCTGAAAAGCGAGATGAGTGCTGCAACCCCATAGTCATCTCAGACTGGACTTGACCATCCAGGAGTCCTTTACCTTTACTGCAGGCAGAGACATACCAGAATAGGAGGGCAACCAGGATCAATTGCAGCACATGAGTCAGGGCACTACGCCACCCTCCTGGTTGCAGGGGTGCCAGGATAGAGCAGGCAGAGTGGCACGGAGTTTGCAGGAAGCCCCGGATTGCGGGTGGCAAGTGCAGATCTGTGTGAACGTGCGCCTCCTACTGCCAGGACTGTGCTTTGCTAGCCAATGGCCTGCCCCACCCCAGTATTATTTTTTTGCTGCGTTATGAACATGTGACAACAGATGGTGCTATAGGGCAGTCAGACGGGTGGGGTACAAATAATAAATTATTATTATTATTATTATTATTATTATTATTATTATTATTATTCTCAGTGCTTTTTTCTAGGGGGACACAGAGGGACACATACCCCTAAACATTTTGTGAATCTTAAGTTTGACCTCATTGAGGGTCACTAATTCAATATGAGTAGGAAAATGAGAGTATCCCTAAACATTTTTTAAAGAAAAAAAACACTGATGATGATTATTTTTTATCTTATCTATCCCCAATGGGATTTTGCATTGAGAGCTCTTGCAGTGTTTCTTTTTATAGTGTTTTTTATTATCAGTATAGATCCAGCCTTAGTTTGATCCAGGAGGGCCCCTTCTCATGAGAAGTCTCTCTCCTTCTTTCCACACAAATATCTGAGATATTTCCGGATCATATGATTGTAGCTGCAAGAGGGTTTATTGCACAAAATGGAGGCCTGTAAGTAACACAGGAGGCATGATGCTTATGGATATTGTCGTGGCAACTGCACATTGTATAGTTATATGCACTCTTTCTGAGTTTGTCAAAGTCAGTAGTAGTAGTAGTAGTAGTAATAATAATAATAATAATAATAATAATAATAATAATAATAATAATTTATTTATACCCCACCCATCTGGCTGGGCTTCCCCAACCACTCTGGGCGGCTTCCAAAAAAATATTAAAATACTGTAATACATCAAACATTTAAAGCTTCCCTAAATAGGGCTGCCTTCAGATGTCTTCTAAAAGTCTGGTAGTTGTTCTCTTTGACATCTGGTGGGAGGGCATTCCACAGGGCGGGTGCCACTACCGAGAAGGCCCTCTGCCTGGTTCCCTGTAACTTGGCTTCTCACAGTGAGGGAACCGGCAGAAGGCCCTCAGCGCTGGACCTCAGTGTCCGGGTAGAACGATGGGGGTGGAGACGCTCCTTCAGATATACTGGACCGAGGCCGTTCTTTTACATGAGACCGTGTAATTCTTTTATATCATATGAGATATAAAAATTCACAGCATATTATTCTCTGAAGGAGAACTACTTGATAATGATTTACAACTGGTATTTAACTCCGAGTAGGCTTGCTAAGATGTATAAGGCTGAATCAGATAAGTGCTAGAGGTGCAATGAGGTTGAGGGAACGATTTTTCATATGTGGTGGGCCTTTGAAAGGGTAAAAGAGCATTAGGAAATAATCCATAATGAATTGAAAATAATAAAAGTACTTTTCCAAAAAAAAACCCAGAGTCCTTTTTGTTGGGGATAATTCAGACGGAAATTCCCAGGTTTCAAAAAATGTTATTTATGTATGCCACTACTATGGCCCATGTTTCGTTAGCCCCAAAATGGAAAACGAGTGAGGTCCCAACGAAAGAAGAATGGCAACTTAAATTGATGGAATATGTGCAGCTTGCAGACTTAACATATACAATAAGAGAGCAATAAGAACATACGTTTAGAGAAGATTGGAAAATGTTTATTGAATATATAGGGTGAAATTGTTGTACAGTGGTGCCTCGCAAGACGAAATTAATTCGTTCCGCAAGTCTCTTCGTCTTGCGGTTTTTTCGTCTTGCGATGCACGGTTTCCCATAGGAATGCATTGAAAATCAATTAATGCGTTCCTAGGGAAACCGCCTTCAGACCAGGTCCGGGGACAGTCTGTCCCCGGACCTCTTCTGAAGGCTGGGGGGGGGGGGACAAGGGCTTTTCTTCCCACCCCCAGCATTTTAAAAAACCCTGGGACAGCGGAGGACTTCTCCGCTGTCTGGGGCGATCTTAAAATGCTGGCGGGAGGCATTTTAAAATCGCCCCGGACAGCGGAGGACTTCTCCGCTGTCCGGGGCGATTTAAAAGCCCCTGGGAAGGCAGGCAGGGGGGACAAAGACTTTCGCCCCCTGCCCGCCTTCAGAAGGTGTTCCCGCCCCCCGCCCCGCTTCGGAACAGCGTTCCGAAGTGGGGCGGCTGGGGCAGGTCTTCCCGCCCCCCCTCCCCGCTTCGGAACAGCGTTCCGAAGTGGGGCGGCTGGGGCAGGTCTTCCCGCCCCCCTCCCCGCTTCGGAACAGCGGGCTAAGCGGGACCTCCCGCCGGGCACGCAAGGCTTGCCGACATCTGCCTGAAGCAGGGGGCGGGCTCCGCAGCTCACCCCCTGCTTCGGGATGCAGGCTGCCGCCCCAAGCCTTGCGCGCAAGGCTTGCCGGCATCTCCCCCAAGCAGGGGGCGGGCTCCGCAGCTCACCCCCTGCTTCGGGATACAGGCTGCCGCCCCAAGCCTTGCGCGCAAGGCTTGCCGGCATCTCCCCCAAGCAGGGGCGGGCTCCGCAGCTCACCCCCTGCTTCGGGATGCAGGCTGCCGCCCCAAGCCTTGCACGCAAGGCTTGCTGACATCTCCCCCAAGCAGGGGGCGGGCTCCGCAGCTCACCCCCTGCTTCGGGATGCAGACTGCCGCCCCAAGCCTTGCCCGCAAGGCTTGCCGGCATCTCCCCCAAGCAGGGGAGATTTTAAAATGCTGGGGGTCGGCAGCGCTTCGTTCCCGACCCCCAGCATTTTAAAACCTTCCCGGGACACGGGGAGATTTTAAAATGCTGGGGGTCGGCAGCGAACGCTTCGCTCCCGCCCGCCAGCATTTTAAGATCGCCCGGGGCAGGCGGGGGGAAGGCAGGTCCTCTTCTGAAGGCCGGCTGTGGGCAAAAGTCTTTGCTCCCGACCGCCAGCATTTCCCTATGGGCTTTCGTCTTGCGATGCAAGCCCATAGGGAAATTCGTCTTGCGAAGCGCCTCCAAAACAGAAAACCCTTTCGTCTTGCGGGTTTTCCGTCTTGCGAGGCATTCGTCTTGCGGGGTACCACTGTACACTTGAAAACGTTGGCAGCATTAAGACAAATTCAACAGTGTAAATAAGTTTTGATGGATGTAATAATGGAATACTGAAGGGTTTAGTTTATTTAAAATATACAGGGATTTATGATATGTAAAACGAACCATGGAAAGAGAATAAGGGAAGTCATTGATATCTTACAATTACTTAAATGAGTATTCAAAATTGCAAACATAAAATTTAATAAAAATTATATATACAGTGGTACTCCAGGTGCGGATGGGATCTGTTCCGGAGCTCCGGTCGGATCCTGAGGTTTCCACAACCAGAGGGACCACTTCTGTGCATTCACGCAGCGTGGTAGAGCACTTCTGCGCATGCGCACACGGTGAAACACTTCCGGGTTTGCTGCTTTTGCAACCCGAAGTTTATGCCGCCCAAGGTTAACGTAAGCCAAGGTGCTAGGTAAAAGGTAAAGGTACCCCTGCCCGTACGGGCCAGTCTTGCCAGACTCTAGGGTTGTGCGCTCATCTCACTCTATAGGCCGGGAGCCAGCGCTGTCCGCAGACACTTCTGGGTCACGTGGCCAGTGTGACGAAGCTACTCTGGTGAGCCAGAGCCGCACACGAAAACGCTGTTTACCTTCCCGCTAGTAAGCGGTCCCTATTTATCTACTTGCACCCGGGGGGTGCTTTCGAACTGCTAGGTTGGCAGGCGCTGGGACCGAACTACGGGAGCGCACCCCGCCGCGGGGATTCGAACCGCCGACCATGTGATTGGCAAGTCCTAGGCGCTGAGGTTTTACCCACAGCGCCACCCGCGTCCCAAGAGTTCCGCGTCCCAAGAAGAAGAATTGACCAAAGCACAGGACTGTTAGAATTCGTGTGTCAAATTTAATTTAATGAACCCCATTCGTTGTGACTTGTTTGTTAGTGCAAAACATTGCCTTGGTTTTTATCTACTTCCTTCAATTCAGTTTCTTACGTGATTTTTAAAATATTTACCTCCATATAGGTATGCATGCTTTGTTTCTCTGCATTTTAATTTTTATAAACAGCAAATGTTAAAGGTCCTAGGCTTTTAATCTTATGATATAAATATGGTTTCTCATATTGTATAATCCAAAGCCTATGACTTTTAACATTTTGCAGTGTTGCGGCACCTTGTAGACCCCTACAGTATTGGCATTTAAGCAGCCGCTTAACACTCACCTGTTTACCCAGAGGCGATCTAGCAATGTTGATGTATCAGTCCAATCTACTGATCTGTGATGTCTTTTGTACTTCTTTTGTGAATGCAATGCCATTGTTGATTTCATGCTCTTTGTGGTGTGTGTGTGTGTATACACACACACACACACACATTTCTTTGAAATAATTTTTAATTTGATTTTCAAGAATATAAACATACAACAAAACCAATTCTGAACTCAAATATCAAGATCACTTTGAATCTCCTGACTCCCCACCCTCATCCCTTCCATGGTCCTATTAAGACTTTTTCAAATACGCGTCTTCTTTCCAAATAACCTGCTGAGAACCTAAACGCAGCAAGCAGAGGAGCACATCTTTTTAAGAGGTGCCCAAACGCAATGGAATGTATATAGTTACATACAGCCTGTTACGTTGTTGTGTTGTTATCAGTTTTGGAATTTACGTGACAAAGGGTTTGGTAGTGTTTTGAGAACATAAATGCAGCAGGCAGAGGAGCGCATATTTCTAAGAGGTGCCCAAACGCAATGGGGGCATTAACGATTTGGTGGATCCTTAATGAGCTTCTCCTTCCTCCTGTGCCCAGAGTCAGTCCTGCTCCCTTCCCTCTGTGTGATGCGCAGGGACAGAGGCCTTTGCAAAGCCAACGAGAAAAGGTTCTTCTACAATCTCACTACCGGCAAATGTCATCCGTTCAATTACAGTGGCTGCGGTGGGAACGAAAACAACTTTACCTCTAGAAAGTCCTGCCTGCAGATGTGTAAGAAAGGTATAAACACAACAGTCTGAGGTATAAGGGTTAATATTTTTTCCTCCACTGGGCGAAAAAGGTAACTATCTGATACATAAGTCAAGCAAATTTAGACCTTTAAAAAATATTTATAGAAATTTGAAAAATAAACGATAATTCAGCAACATTTAAAATTTAAAATTCCGTTCATCAACCTAGGACTTTCCCTTCCACCGCTCCATGGTTTTCCCCTAGTTCCAATTCTTGCTGCATATTATAATTATTCTATAATAGGGACTTCCGGTTTGCTGCGGAGGCAATGATGGTGCGCTCTGTGTCTTCTGTCTAAAAGACGACACAGTTCAGGCTGAAAGAGCTTTGGGGGTGTGCCCCAGGGCTAGGTGCCCCCCGAAAAACTCCCCACGGAAGAGTGGGGACTCTAGGGGTCCAGCAGGGCATGCAAACTCGCCGATCATAATCCCCCGACTGCCGTTTTTGCGCGGGGGGAAGGAAAAGGCTTGAGTCCGCTCACGGCTCCGCCGCGCTCTACAGCCGAAGCCACACACCGCCACCATAAGCAGTGGATTTTCCAATTAGAGATAAAAACCAAATAAGGAATTAAGAGAAGAAATTAGGTTTAAATTGATTGATTTGGTGAAACAGAAGCCAAAAGGGAAGTCAGCTTCCGATTTCTGCGGGCAGGCTCTGTAAGGGGACTTTTTGTGAATGGGAGCAGACCATAGTACTTGCAGCTATGGAGATTTTGTAACAGTTTGACTTTGGACATTTGAGAGACTCTCTTTCTCTTGGATACATATTGGCTACAGCTGTGTCAAGTTGTCCTCTGGATAAAGGTAGGATGTAAATTGACAGCTGGGCAGAATTTGACAGATTGATACTTTGGCAGAGTAGAAAGCAAAAAGACTTACATAAAAGTACTGTGGAAATATAAGCTTTAACTTTAAACCCTTGAACTCGGTGGCACAAAACTGAAGCTAAGCAGGAAAACTCTTCATCATATTGGGGGAGAAATTCCCCAAGAAGCAAGGAGAACCTGGAATAGCTGGAGTTGGATTTGATATTTAGTGCTTACTGAAGACCAGGGAAATTCATGCAATACTACCTGCCAATAAGCAATTAATTAATATCTTTGGACATCCTGGATGCATATTTTTCAAGCCTAAAAATTGGAAGATTTGGATTACAATATATTGCAGAACTGTACATTTGGATTTACATTTCGGATTTAATTCTGGATTACAATTACAAACTCTCATTTGCCGCCACTTTTTTGGAAAAGGAAAAGAACGATTGAAGAGAAGTACATAACCTTATATTAACTTTATATTAACAGTCTGTATCGGTTTTTAATATCTGGTTTTAGTTTGGGGGAGAATTGTCCTGTTTGATATATGACATGCAATTTTGAATAAGTAAGATTTGGTTGGGGGTTAAGGGGCCTGAGAGTGATAACAGTCATTTTCTGTTTTTTACAGGTTTTATTGGGTATTTTTTGCTCTTCCTTCTGTCTGTTTTTTTTTACTGTTTTACAAGGACTGGTGGGGGGGAGGGAACGCTTTAAGGGTAAAGGGAAAATTTTATGGTTCAGCTTGGGAGTGGGGAAATACTTTCACTTCTGGGCTGAACTAAGAAACGCAGGTGTGACCTTGAATAGATCAAAACAAAGGCATTCAATTGTGGGAAAACTCTCTAGCTTAGATATGGCAGGCAAACAAGATACAGGAGCTGTCACAAGGAATCTCCTGACGCCCCATCCCTCCCATGGGTCCTATTGATCCTATTTTCAACTGCATATCAATACTTCTCCATTTATGTTTATCTTTCTAAGTTATCCATGCACTCTATTATATTACAAGTGTGTTTAAAATCCTGCCAATGTTTTAACCCGCTGACAATGATCTTGTATATAAGGTATAAACTTTTCCCAATCTTATTTTAAACAATATATATATTTTCTTAATGTTGGCGGAACACAAATCTTTTCACACAAATAAATAAATGAAAAGACTGAGTAGTAATCAGCCCTTTCACCATCTCTTCTGAATGTGGAGCATTCTGTCTGTTTCCAGATGATGTCACTGGGTCCCCCCCCCCCATCCCTCATTCTGTCCACGTTAATCTGCACTTTAAAAGAATACTTTTTCAAATACACGGCTTCTTTCCAAATAACCTGCTGAGAATTTAAATGCTGCACAGCTGACGAAGCCCGGTTGGGCGAAACAAGGGATTATTCTGGAATCCTTGTCTTATTTTCTGCATGTGTCATTCTTATTTTCTGCATTTGCCATTCTTCCAAGTTTTTCGTCTGACACCTGCATACAAGGAACGCTAGAATTCTGAAAAGCATTTTCATGTGGAACACTACAAGATTGATATAAGAATTCCACACCGTGGATATTGCCAATATAAAAACTGAATAGACTGTATTTCCTGATCAATCTTCTGGACTTTAATTTCTCATAATATGTTTTGTTTATATGATAAGTTGGTCTATAGAACCATATATTTTGATATGATATGTTGAATCTCATTTTAAAAGAATGTATATAGTTACATACAGCCTGTTACGTTGTTGTGTTGTTATCAGTTTTGGAATTTACGTGACAAAGGGTTTGGTAGTGTTTTGAGAACATAAATGCAGCAGGCAGAGGAGCGCATATTTCTAAGAGGTGCCCAAACGCAATGGGGGCATTAACGATTTGGTGGATCCTTAATGAGCTTCTCCTTCCTCCTGTGCCCAGAGTCAGTCCTGCTCCCTTCCCTCTGTGTGATGCGCAGGGACAGAGGCCTTTGCAAAGCCAACGAGAAAAGGTTCTTCTACAATCTCACTACCGGCAAATGTCATCCGTTCAATTACAGTGGCTGCGGTGGGAACGAAAACAACTTTACCTCTAGAAAGTCCTGCCTGCAGATGTGTAAGAAAGGTATAAACACAAAAGTCTGAGGTATAAGGGTTAATATTTTTTCCTCCACTGGGCGAAAAAGGTAACTATCTGATACATAAGTCAAGCAAATTTAGACCTTTAAAAAATATTTATAGAAATTTGAAAAATAAACGATAATTCAGCAACATTTAAAATTTAAAATTCCGTTCATCAACCTAGGACTTTCCCTTCCACCGCTCCATGGTTTTCCCCTAGTTCCAATTCTTGCTGCATATTATAATTATTCTATAATAGGGACTTCCGGTTTGCTGCGGAGGCAATGATGGCGCGCTCTGTGTCTTCTGTCTAAAAGACGACACAGTTCAGGCTGAAAGAGCTTTGGGGGTGTGCCCCAGGGCTAGGTGCCCCCCGAAAAACTCCCCACGGAAGAGTGGGGACTCTAGGGGTCCAGCAGGGCATGCAAACTCGCCAATCATAATCCCCCGACTGCCGTTTTTGCGCGGGGGGAAGGAAAAGGCTTGAGTCCGCTCACGGCTCCACCGCGCTCTACAGCCGAAGCCACACACCGCCACCATAAGCAGTGGATTTTCCAATTAGAGATAAAAACCAAATAAGGAATTAAGAGAAGAAATTAGGTTTAAATTGATTGATTTGGTGAAACAGAAGCCAAAAGGGAAGTCAGCTTCCGATTTCTGCGGGCAGGCTCTGTAAGGGGACTTTTTGTGAATGGGAGCAGACCATAGTACTTGCAGCTATGGAGATTTTGTAACAGTTTGACTTTGGACATTTGAGAGACTCTCTTTCTCTTGGATACATATTGGCTACAGCTGTGTCAAGTTGTCCTCTGGATAAAGGTAGGATGTAAATTGACAGCTGGGCAGAATTTGACAGATTGATACTTTGGCAGAGTAGAAAGCAAAAAGACTTACATAAAAGTACTGTGGAAATATAAGCTTTAACTTTAAACCCTTGAACTCGTGGCACAAAACTGAAGCTAAGCAGGAAAACTCTTCATCATATTGGGGGAGAAATTCCCCAAGAAGCAAGGAGAACCTGGAATAGCTGGAGTTGGATTTGATATTTAGTGCTTACTGAAGACCAGGGAAATTCATGCAATACTACCTGCCAATAAGCAATTAATTAATATCTTTGGACATCCTGGATGCATATTTTTCAAGCCTAAAAATTGGAAGATTTGGATTACAATATATTGCAGAACTGTACATTTGGATTTACATTTCGGATTTAATTCTGGATTACAATTACAAACTCTCATTTGCCGCCACTTTTTTGGAAAAGGAAAAGAACGATTGAAGAGAAGTACATAACCTTATATTAACTTTATATTAACAGTCTGTATCGGTTTTTAATATCTGGTTTTAGTTTGGGGGAGAATTGTCCTGTTTGATATATGACATGCAATTTTGAATAAGTAAGATTTGGTTGGGGGTTAAGGGGCCTGAGAGTGATAACAGTCATTTTCTGTTTTTTACAGGTTTTATTGGGTATTTTTTGCTCTTCCTTCTGTCTGTTTTTTTTTACTGTTTTACAAGGACTGGTGGGGGGGAGGGAACGCTTTAAGGGTAAAGGGAAAATTTTATGGTTCAGCTTGGGAGTGGGGAAATACTTTCACTTCTGGGCTGAACTAAGAAACGCAGGTGTGACCTTGAATAGATCAAAACAAAGGCATTCAATTGTGGGAAAACTCTCTAGCTTAGATATGGCAGGCAAACAAGATACAGGAGCTGTCACAAGGAATCTCCTGACGCCCCATCCCTCCCATGGGTCCTATTGATCCTATTTTCAACTGCATATCAATACTTCTCCATTTATGTTTATCTTTCTAAGTTATCCATGCACTCTATTATATTACAAGTGTGTTTAAAATCCTGCCAATGTTTTAACCCGCTGACAATGATCTTGTATATAAGGTATAAACTTTTCCCAATCTTATTTTAAACAATATATATATTTTCTTAATGTTGGCGGAACACAAATCTTTTCACACAAATAAATAAATGAAAAGACTGAGTAGTAATCAGCCCTTTCACCATCTCTTCTGAATGTGGAGCATTCTGTCTGTTTCCAGATGATGTCACTGGGTCCCCCCCCCATCCCTCATTCTGTCCACGTTAATCTGCACTTTAAAAGAATACTTTTTCAAATACACGGCTTCTTTCCAAATAACCTGCTGAGAATTTAAATGCTGCACAGCTGACGAAGCCCGGTTGGGCGAAACAAGGGATTATTCTGGAATCCTTGTCTTATTTTCTGCATGTGTCATTCTTATTTTCTGCATTTGCCATTCTTCCAAGTTTTTCGTCTGACACCTGCATACAAGGAACGCTAGAATTCTGAAAAGCATTTTCATGTGGAACACTACAAGATTGATATAAGAATTCCACACCGTGGATATTGCCAATATAAAAACTGAATAGACTGTATTTCCTGATCAATCTTCTGGACTTTAATTTCTCATAATATGTTTTGTTTATATGATAAGTTGGTCTATAGAACCATATATTTTGATATGATATGTTGAATCTCATTTTAAAAGAATGTATATAGTTACATACAGCCTGTTACGTTGTTGTGTTGTTATCAGTTTTGGAATTTACGTGACAAAGGGTTTGGTAGTGTTTTGAGAAACATAAATGCAGCAGGCAGAGGAGCGCATATTTCTAAGAGGTGCCCAAACGCAATGGGGGCATTAACGATTTGGTGGATCCTTAATGAGCTTCTCCTTCCTCCTGTGCCCAGAGTCAGTCCTGCTCCCTTCCCTCTGTGTGATGCGCAGGGACAGAGGCCTTTGCAAAGCCAACGAGAAAAGGTTCTTCTACAATCTCACTACCGGCAAATGTCATCCGTTCAATTACAGTGGCTGCGGTGGGAACGAAAACAACTTTACCTCTAGAAAGTCCTGCCTGCAGATGTGTAAGAAAGGTATAAACACAACAGTCTGAGGTATAAGGGTTAATATTTTTTCCTCCACTGGGCGAAAAAGGTAACTATCTGATACATAAGTCAAGCAAATTTAGACCTTTAAAAAATATTTATAGAAATTTGAAAAATAAACGATAATTCAGCAACATTTAAAATTTAAAATTCCGTTCATCAACCTAGGACTTTCCCTTCCACCGCTCCATGGTTTTCCCCTAGTTCCAATTCTTGCTGCATATTATAATTATTCTATAATAGGGACTTCCGGTTTGCTGCGGAGGCAATGATGGCGCGCTCTGTGTCTTCTGTCTAAAAGACGACACAGTTCAGGCTGAAAGAGCTTTGGGGGTGTGCCCCAGGGCTAGGTGCCCCCCGAAAAACTCCCCACGGAAGAGTGGGGACTCTAGGGGTCCAGCAGGGCATGCAAACTCGCCGGTCATAATCCCCCGACTGCCGTTTTTGCGCGGGGGGAAGGAAAAGGCTTGAGTCCGCTCACGGCTCCACCGCGCTCTACAGCCGAAGCCACACACCGCCACCATAAGCAGTGGATTTTCCAATTAGAGATAAAAACCAAATAAGGAATTAAGAGAAGAAATTAGGTTTAAATTGATTGATTTGGTGAAACAGAAGCCAAAAGGGAAGTCAGCTTCCGATTTCTGCGGGCAGGCTCTGTAAGGGGACTTTTTGTGAATGGGAGCAGACCATAGTACTTGCAGCTATGGAGATTTTGTAACAGTTTGACTTTGGACATTTGAGAGACTCTCTTTCTCTTGGATACATATTGGCTACAGCTGTGTCAAGTTGTCCTCTGGATAAAGGTAGGATGTAAATTGACAGCTGGGCAGAATTTGACAGATTGATACTTTGGCAGAGTAGAAAGCAAAAAGACTTACATAAAAGTACTGTGGAAATATAAGCTTTAACTTTAAACCCTTGAACTCGGTGGCACAAAACTGAAGCTAAGCAGGAAAACTCTTCATCATATTGGGGGAGAAATTCCCCAAGAAGGAAGGAGAACCTGGAATAGCTGGAGTTGGATTTGATATTTAGTGCTTACTGAAGACCAGGGAAATTCATGCAATACTACCTGCCAATAAGCAATTAATTAATATCTTTGGACATCCTGGATGCATATTTTTCAAGCCTAAAAATTGGAAGATTTGGATTACAATATATTGCAGAACTGTACATTTGGATTTACATTTCGGATTTAATTCTGGATTACAATTACAAACTCTCATTTGCCGCCACTTTTTTGGAAAAGGAAAAGAACGATTGAAGAGAAGTACATAACCTTATATTAACTTTATATTAACAGTCTGTATCGGTTTTTAATATCTGGTTTTAGTTTGGGGGAGAATTGTCCTGTTTGATATATGACATGCAATTTTGAATAAGTAAGATTTGGTTGGGGGTTAAGGGGCCTGAGAGTGATAACAGTCATTTTCTGTTTTTTACAGGTTTTATTGGGTATTTTTTGCTCTTCCTTCTGTCTGTTTTTTTTTTTTTTTTTTACTGTTTTACAAGGACTGGTGGGGGGAGGGAACGCTTTAAGGGTAAAGGGAAAATTTTATGGTTCAGCTTGGGAGTGGGGAAATACTTTCACTTCTGGGCTGAACTAAGAAACGCAGGTGTGACCTTGAATAGATCAAAACAAAGGCATTCAATTGTGGGAAAACTCTCTAGCTTAGATATGGCAGGCAAACAAGATACAGGAGCTGTCACAAGGAATCTCCTGACTCCCCATCCCTCCCATTCATTGCCAATATAAGAACTGAATAGACTGTATTTCCTGATCAATCTGCTGGACTTTAATTTCTCATAATATGTTTTGTTTATATGATAAGTTGGTCTATAGAACCATATATTTTGATATGATATGTTGAATCTCATTTTAAAAGAATGTATATAGTTACATACAGCCTGTTACGTTGTTGTGTTATCAGTTTTGGAATTTATGTGACAAAGGGTTTGGTAGTGTTTTGAGAACATAAATGCAACAAGCAGAGGAGCGCATCTTTTTAAGAGGTGCCCAAATGCAATGGGAGCATTAATGATTTGGTGGATCCTTAATGAGCTTCTCCTTCCTCCTGTGCTAGAGTCAGTCCTGCTCCCTTCCCTCTGTGTGATGCGCAGGGACAGAGGCCTTTGCAAAGCCAACGAGAAAAGGTTCTTCTACAGTCTCACTACCGGCAAATGTCATCCGTTCAGTTACAGTGGCTGCGGCGGGAACGAAAACAACTTTACCTCTAGAAAGTCCTGCCTGCAGATGTGTAAGAAAGGTATAAACACAACAGTCTGAGGTTGTTGTTTAGTCGTTTAGTTGTGTCCGACTCTTCATGACCCCATGGACCAGAGCACGCCAGGCACTCCTGTCTTCCACTGCCTCCCGCAGTTTGGTCAGACCCATGTTTGTAGCTTCGAGAACACTGTCCAACCATCTCGTCCTCTGTCGTCCCCTTCTTCTTGTGCCCTCAGTCTTCCCAACATCAGGGTCTTTTCCAGGGAGTCTTCCCTTCTCATGAGGTGGCCAAAGTATTGGAGCCTCAGCTTCACGATCTGTCCTTCCAGTAAGCACTCAGTCTGAGGTATAAGGGTTAATATTTTTTTCCTCCACGGGGGGGGGGAGTAACAAGTCAAGCAAATTTAGACCTTTAAAAAAATATTTATAGAAATTTGAAAAATAAACAATAATTCAACAACATTTAAATTTTAAAATTCAATTCATCAACCTAGGACTTTCCCCTCCACCCCTCCATGGTTTTCCCCAAATTCCAATTCTTGCTGCATATTATAATTATTCTATAATAAGGTTACCAGATTTTTTTTCAAAGAATCCAGGGACACTTTTCTTTTTTTAAAGAGGGGAGGGGGAGTTTTTTTTTAAAAAAAATATTAAAAAAATAAGAAGTAATATCTTCTCTTCTGTGGTCTCCCCTAAGCAAATTGAAATCCTTGCACTGACGGAACGAACTAGTTGGACAGGTCCTTGTTGCAAGGGGGGATTTGCAATCTAGAAGAGAGTGGGAATACAGAGCCAGGTTTAGTACATCACATCCACAGGTCGGCAAACTAAGGCCCGGGGGCCGGATCCAGCCCAATCACCTTCTAAATCCGGCCCACAGACGGTCTGAGAATCAGCATGTTCTTACATGAGTAGAATGTGTCCTTTTGTTTAAAATGCATCTCTGGGCTATTTGTGGGACATAGGAATTCGTTCATCCCCCCCCCCCCGAAAAAAATAGTCTGGCCCCCCACAGGGTTGGAGGGATGACTGGCCCCCTGCTGAAAAAGTTTGCTGACCCCTGATAATTTTTCAAGTCTATGTTTCTTGTTCCCTCCAGGTTTCCAAGGCAGAATGAAAATTCGCCGGAAGAGAAAGAAACAAGCGAAGCTGATAGATGGGGAAATTGTCATTGAAAGGATATAGCTTCCCTTCTGCCACCTCTGCCTATCATTTGCATTTCCTGCCTTATTCACACATATTATTTATCGAGATTTTATGCTGCTGCTTTTGTGTTTCTTCTTTCTCCTGTACATTTTGTAGACGGCACAAACTGAAGCTTTCGCTGTTAAAACTAACGCCGTGAACCTGTCCTATGCTGGTTGCGTAGAAATCAGTGGAACTCCACCCACCCCACATTTAAATGTTGACCGGTTTCCATGGTTATAAGGCTCTGATCCTGAATTTTTGTATCCTCAGTATTCCCGATTTTCGCCTTTGGATAACCCATGTTAATCTGCAGTCATAACTAATCTACCATAATAATTGCTGCGAAGGCTATAAATTCTATTATATGGGCTTTGATAAAGAAGTGGCTTTGGAATTGCAGATGTACAAAGTAAACCTATGCCTGTCTCCTCAGAAGTAAGTCCTACTGAGGACTCAAGGAAGCTTGCTTGCAAGTACAGAGGTACCTCGGTTTACGAACTTAATTCATTCCGAAAGTCCATTCTTAAACCAAAGCATTCTTAAACTGAGGCACGCTTTCCCTAGTGAGGCCTCCTGCCGCCAGTGCCCTTCTACCGGTCAGCTTCCATTCGGCTTCTGAGGCAAAGTTCGCTACTTCCGGTTTTGCGGAATTCGTTCACTGAATAGTTCGTTAACAGGGCTGTTCGTAGACCAAGGTACCACTGTAAGTATATACTGGACTTGCTCCTTATTATTTCCACTATAGTGGTGACAGTTTGTGGTCAACAGATCCAAAGACTAGAATTCACATCATCCCTGGCCATTGGCCGTTGACTGTGTGACCTGGAGCAGATTTTCAGTCACTATTTTAGAAAAAAAGTCAACAGGCAGGGGGATTGGTGTTTGTTAGGTTATGGAGTATAAAATTATACCTCATGTGCTTTTATAAAATAATGGCATTGCTATTGTCCAGTTTCACTTTTCTATATACTTTTGATAACTGTGTGATTCTGGAGCATTTGAATGCTATTTAGCAAAGGGAACTGGTGTCAATGGCTTTACTAAACACTCGGGAATCTGAGCTTTCTCGTGATTCGTGAATCCTTTCAACGGCTGACTGCAAAACCAGAAAAAGCTCCGAAACAAGGAGGTTTGCCAGAAGAAACAATCGTGAGAGCTCCCCACCTCATAAAACTCGATATATCCCCCCTTTTTTTTTTTTGCTTGTAAATACTTGGTTCCATTTCTGTTTATTATGAAACTGAGTCATTAAAAAAATCATCATAACAAAGTTCTGCTTTTAGTATAATGCCCCTTGAAGATGGTTTGGAAATTGCTTCTAGTGTAAAACATGGAACGAGAACTTTGAGCAGAGCAGCAAGTTGGGCTTGAGTTACACTGACCCCTTGGAAGCTATCCTGACTGCCTGTTTGCCACTAGGCCCAATTCAAGGTATTGGTTCTGACAGCCAGCTGAGGCCTGTAGGGGAGGTTCTTTGCACGATCCTGCCAAAGGCTTTGGCCTATATGCAATGTCCTGGCAGAGAGGCATTTCTCTGTAATGGTCCCCCAATAAGGTAAAAGGTAAAGGACCCCTGGACAGTTAGGTCCAGTCAAAGGCGACAATGGGGTTGTGGCACTCATCTCGCTTTCAGGCCAAGGGAGCCGGCGTTTGTCCACAGACAGCTTTCCGGGTCATGTGGCCAGCAGGACTAAACCGGTTCTGGCACAACTGAACACCGTGACGGAAACCAGAGCACACGGAAACACTGTTTACCCTCCCACCACATCTGTACTTATTTATCTACTTGCACTGACGTGCTTTCGATCTGCTAATTCAGCAGGAGCTGAGACAGAGCATCAGGAGCTCACTCCGTCGTGGGGATTCAAACTGCCGACCTTCTGATCAGCAAGCCCAAGAGGCTCTGTGGTTTAGATGCGGTCCCTGAATAACTCTCTCTTGCCATAGAAATATGGCTATTTCTTTGTCTGATGTGGTGCAGCAATAAACCTGTGAGCACATTTGCAAAGCTAAGCAGGGTCTGGTGTGGTTTCAGATTGGATGGGGGACCATGTGTTGAGATGGTCTGCATTGCAGGGGTTTGGAATAGATGACCTTCACAGTCCCTTTTCCAACCCTACAATTCTAGGATTCTATGACCTTCCACCAACAGTTCAAGACATATCTCTAAATAGAGATGTAGAGGGTAGGCTTCGATCTGCATTCAGGGGTTTTTGGATTTGATGCTGTGGTCTGTTTTGTTTACCTAGTGTTGTATGAAAGAACAAAGTGGGTCAGGGATGGAGAAGATGAGCTCCTGATGAGGCAACTGCAAAAAACTATGGGTGCATGTGGCCCTATAGATCTCAGCCAATGTTGAATAATTAACGATTGCTCCCTTAAAGGTAAAGGGACCCCTGACCATAGGTCCAGTCGTGACCGACTCTGGGGTTGCGGTGCTCATCTCGCTTTATTGGCCGAGGGAGCCGCCGTACAGCTTCCGGGTCATGTGGCCAGCATGACTAAGCCACTTCTGGAGAACTAGAGCAGCGCACAGAAATGCCGTTTACCTTTCTGCCGGAGTGCACACTTGCACTTTGACGTCCTTTCAAACTGCTAGGTTGGCAGGAGCAGGGACCGAGCAACAGGATCTCACCCCATCACGGGGATTCAAACAGCCAACCTTCTGATCAGCAAGTCCTAGGCTCTGTGGTTTAACCCACAGCGCCACCCACATCCGATTGCTCCCTTACTATCCAATAAATCAGAGGCTATAAAACACAAGAAAGCTTGTTTGTATTAAGGTGTTGAATTAGATTGACTAGACAGAGAAGTTCAATCTAGGTTTCATGCAGACTGCATAAATGAAAAGTTGTCTGTATGTATGTTCCAAATAAGTTTGTGTCTGTTTATTTGATAGGGTGATGCTGCCCTCTGGCGGGCATTTGTGCTCATCAGAATTCAAGGATGATACACTGCTCATTTTAATGAGAGTAATCAGTTCTATGCAAGACAAACACGTATATGAAAATATAGGACTCTGCCTCCTACTGAGTCAGAGCATGGTGCATCTAATTCAATGTTGTATACATTGACTGGTAGCATTTTCTCCCAGCCCTATCAGGAGATCTTGAGGACTGAACAAGGGACTTTCTGCATGAAAAGCACATGCTCCCCGACTGAGCTACTGCCCTTTCATATGTTTTGAGCATAAGGCATAATTATAATATAAAAATCACCTGGCCCACAGACACAACCACAGCTGCAGACCCACCTTGCTGTTGGGTTGGCATAGACACAGAGACAATCTGATTCTAAGCATTTTTCCTTCCCAGTAAGTCTCAGTGAATCCAATAAGCATGATTTCCAGATATGCATGGATAGGATCCAGGCACGGTATTAACGTAGCATTTTGCAACTGAAATATACTCGGAGTTGAGAGTGGATTTCATGCTCTCTATTCAGCTCATAGTGGTGAGGAAGAATGGAGGTTCCCCCACAATATCTGCTTTATATACATTATTCACACAATGGGCTGCACGTGATTGGCTAATTCCGGGATTCTCCTGTAGGCCAATCAGGTTGTGGATTCAGTTCCACCTGGAGCTGGATTGGGTGGCTCCTGCAGACCAATCATACTGCTGCATTGTTCTAGGACCAGTCAGACTGCTGCATTTTGGATCCTATTCAACTCAGTACATAACAACAACTCAGTGACTTGATGGCTGTCAGGCCAACTGCTTATATTTCCATATTATACTAGAACTTGGTCTCTGTTCAGGGATGGCGTTGTTGTTATCCAGGACTGGCAGGGTACCTGGCACTTTGCAGGTAACAAGAAGACAGGTCCATGTCTAAAATCTGAACGTCTAAAATCTGAAGTCTGAGGAAGTGAATAGTTGTCAGGCGGCAGAGGATCCGACCCCCACAGGAGGTTGCCAGGAATGGATAAGACAAGGAAAAGTCCTTACCATCTGCTTTTTATTCAATAGTCACAGAGAGAGGCTTGGAAACACAGCCTCTTGGAATAATGGCATTGTCCCAAGTGAATCTCCACCTCCTCCATCTCTCCCACTTCCTCATGCGTCATTGCTACAGGAGCTGAAAAGTGCCCTCTGCCTTTGAGATCTTTGCTCTCCTACTTTCAAGGCCTGCCAGTTTCTGGGAGGGGGTGTCTGGAATGCTTTCTAAAGACACTGTGTTCGTCAGCTCTTGCTTTCTTCTTCCTCTCCCATTATTTCCCAGCTTTCCCCCTCATCTGCCTCTGAGCTGTGACCTCCCTCGAACCCCTGTTGTAATTCTGAACTGTCTCCTTCTTCCTGGAAGGGTCAGGCTGGGGAGGCTGTCTCCACCATTCCTCCTCTGCCCAGTCCCTGACAATAGTGAGGAAATCGCTACTGGAAGGTGGTGTCCAGTCCCCGCCCCCTTGTAAGATCCGGAAGCTGTTAAGGATTCAGTGTTTCAGCAAAGAGTGGTCTCAGCAAGATCAGGGTGTTCGCTGTGCCATCAGCTACTTGCCCCCACTGCAGTGCCTGATTTACATATAAGCTAAACAAGCTATAGCTTAGGGCCCCACTCTTTTTGGGGGGGCCCTAAAAAATTAAAGGAAAAAAACTGGATGTGCATTTCCAAAATATAAGATAAAAAACAAATAAAATAAGCCTACATACAGCAACAGTGTTTTATGCTGTGTAGGCTCCTATGATGTAAGTAATGGGCCCGCCAGCTAGCCTGCTCCCTAAAATATCACTGGTTTGCTCATTTCTATATATAGGGTGACTACATTCTGCATTTGCAAAAGGCTTTAGATACCTATTAGGTCCATAAATTACCATACAGTGGTACCGCGGGTTACATACGCTTCAGATTACATACGCTTCAGGTTACAGACTCCGCTAACCCAGAAATAGTACCTTGGTTAAGAACTTTGCTTCAGGATGAGAACAGAAATCACGTGGCGGCGGCACGGCAGCAGCAGCGGGATGCCCCATTAGCTAAAGTGGTACTTCAGGTTAAGAACAGTTTCAGGTTAAGAATGGACCTCCGGAACAAATTAATTACGTAACCAGAGGTACCACTGTACTGTGTAGCATATATTCAACCCAAAAAACAGCGAAAATGACAATTTGTTGTTGACAAAGGACAGCTGGACATATAAAGGGCCCCATCATGTTCAGTAGCTTAGGGCCTCATCAAACCTAAATCCGGCCCTGCCCCCACTGGTTTGCAAGCTGCAGAGGCAAAGCCCTCACTCCGACATGAGGTAGAACGGTGGAAAGTGTCAGAGATCAAAGACATGGTAACAAAGTTGGATAATACCGGGCAGTGATGTAGAATGGGAGGGCCACAGGGGTGTTTGGCCCGGGCGCAAAATTGTTTGGGCACAAAATTACAACGCCCAGTGCTGCCTCAATACAGCTGCATGCTTCTGTCACTGGGCTCTGCTAAAAACGGCTTCTCTATCATGCAAATCAGGAAGTGACCTCTCCGGACAACAAAACTGTTGGATCAATCCATCAACCTCTGATGGATGATTTAGTCCAGCCTCGGTCCAGTATACCTGAAGGAGCATCTCCACCCCCATCGTTCTGCCCGGACACTGAGGTCCAGTGCTGAGGGCCTTCTGGCAGTTCCCTCGCTGTGAGAAGCCAAGTTACAGGGAACCAGGCAGAGGGCCTTCTCGGTCCCTGTGTAACACCCTCCCACCAGATGTCAAAGAGAAAAATAACTACCAGACTTTTAGAAGACATCTGAAGGCAGCCCTGTTTAGGGAAGCTTTTAATGTTTGATGTATTACGGTATTTTAACATTTTGTTGGAAGCCGCCCAGAGTGGCTGGGGAAACCTAGCCAGATGGGCGGGGTATAAATTATTATTATTATTATTATTATTATTATTATTATTATTATTATTATTACCTTTGCTGCATGTGTGTGCCAGTATCTGTACTCAGCAGAGTTACATCTCAACGTATCTCCTTCCTTGAAAGCATCTTTGGGGTACACACAGTAGACAATAAACACTCAGGGCCCCATAAAGATTCGGTCGAGTGTAGAGGTTTACTTGACAGGCATAAAAGCATATTGGTAGCAAATATATACAGTGGTGCCCCGCAAGACGAATGCCTCGCAAGACGAAAAACTCGCAAGACGAAAGGGTTTTCCGTTTTTTGAGTCGTTCCGCAAGACGAATTTCCCTATGGGCTTGCTTCGCAAGACGAAACGTCTTGCGAGTTCTTGCGAGTTTGTTTCCTTTTTCTTAAAGCCGCTAAGCCGTTAATAGCTGCTAAGCC